TGCTTCTTCCTCTGTTTATTCCTGGGTTTTGTTGGAGCTGCCAAGAATTAAATTTTGTTTGGGGAGGACACCCTCTTATCTCCTTCCCCCTGTTGCTGCCATTTTAAAGTGCTGTCACAAATCTGCCTACGTGAAGGGCTGCAGTGTTGTGTTCTTTGCATGTGAAAGCATTAGCTTCCCTCTGGATGCCTGAGCTGTTGGTGGTTCCACAGCAGGAGCGAGAAGGAACCACCTATGCTCCTGTGCCATTGCCAATAAATTTTGTGTGTGTGTGTTGTGTGTGTTGAGGATGTCTTTGGTGACTTGATAATCAATGACTATAAGAGCTTTTTTTTTATATATATATTTTATTGTAGTTCAGGTGAAGGCTTACAGAACAAATAGTTTCTCATGAAACAGTAGTACACATGTTGTTTTATGACGTTGGTTAACGACCCCACAACATATTAACCCTCTAAATTCTCAACCTTTTTTTTTTTTTTGGTGAAAATACACATAGCCAAAGGTACACCATTTCAAAAATTTCTACATACACAGTTCAGTGACATTGACTACGTATCAGAGCTTTTTTGAGTCTTTTTTAAGTTCATGCAGCAGTTTGGTTAAATTCTGACCTATTGTCCCTAGTCCCTCATTTAGCCAAGCGAGAACCAAGTGGCTTCCCAAAAACACACAGCACCGAGGCACAGGCATTGCAGCAGGCCTGCCTTCAGGCTCAAGGCTGCTTGTTCAGCCAGCAGTCCGTTATTGAGCACCTTTTGGGCATAGGCTTTGGGTGGGATGGAAGGGAACCATTGTGTAAGACTGTCCTTCTAGAAGTAGGTGCCCATCTTAGAGGGGACCTGAAGGAGCTGTGGTAAGCACCATGCAAGGCATTTGGGATCACAGTTGTTAGCTGCTGTCGAGTCGATTCTGGCTCATGGAATCACGGAATGAGAGCAACTGGCTGTATGGGTGCATTCAGGGAAACCTGCATAGAATGGGTAACATTTAAGCTGGTCTCAAAGGACAGAGTATTCTAGACAAAGGCCCATAAACCCGTTGCCATTGAGTTGATTCCGACTCATAGCAACCTGATAGGACAGAGTAGAACTGCCGCGTTGGGTTTCCAAGGAGCGGCTGGTGGATGCGAACTGCCAGCCTTTTGGTTAGCAGCCAAATGCTTAACCACTGCACAACCACCGCTCCCTAGACAAAGGCAGACAGTGCAAATGAACAGGACCGGTGTGGGTAAAGTAAAGGAGAAGGCTTTCCCGTTGATTGAGCACCTACTATGTTCCTGTGCATGTGTACTTTATCTCACGTAATCGTTACAGAAAACCGTGGAGGCAGATGCTGTTGTCCATGTTTTACAGATGAGAAAATTGAAGTTTATAGAAATTGAGTTATCTGCCCAAGCGATGTCCCTGACAAATGAGCCTTAGACACAAGTCTGCCTGACCCCAAACTTCTCGTTCTTTCCATCCCAACACATCCCCTGGAACAAAATCAGGAGCCATTGAGTGAGAGGAACAACTTCATCATAATGTCAGACCTCATGGTAGAGGACTAACTGGGCATGCTTTCTTCAAGAAGCAAGCAAGCGTGTTGAGCATCCCAAAGTTACTGTTCTGCTAGCACAAGAACAAAGTTGTAACACCTGACTTATCTCCTGTTATATCCTTGCACTTTAATTATAGCTTTTTAATTATTTGCATCAGGTTCTTCAGTGGATTCACCTAGGAGTTTGAGTTAGGCTTGTCTTCTCATTTCAGGCTGTCCTTCCCTTTCTGCAGGGTTCTCTGTCCAGTGGAGTCTTTTTAAAGTCTTGGACTCTTTTTAAATTGGGGGCCAGTGTTTCTTAGAAAATAGTGGAAAGAACGATTTGATTGGGGCTTTATTTTGAAAAATGAAACTGACAACAATAGTTTTTTAAATTTAACAAGTTAAATTCACCACAGCTTTGTGCTGATTTCTGAGAATAAACAAAGAGTGAATCCCATGTGGGCAGTGGTGGGATATTTTCAGCAAAATTGTATGAGAGAATATGGATGTGATATCCTTTATGTTTGACTCCAGCAGTATTGGAGGACTCTGTCACTTTCTCAAGGTCCCTTTTTCATTCTTTGGTCATTCTGTGTGGAAGCTCCCATATGGCTTTCTTCTTCTTTAGTCCTTAAAAAGATTGTTTGCCATTGGCTTTGAGTGGAATCCAGTCATTGGCTAATATAACTTTCATGGGCTCCATTAAATTCTGCATCTGTTGCCAACTCGCAGGTCTGCTTAGCAACTGATTTGCATGGTCTGGTCACTGTATCATCTGATATCCTCACAATTAGCAAGAGGTCGAGGTAAGAATCAAACAGGATAAAATGCATACACACAGGAACATAGTAGGTGCTCAGTCAGTGAGAAAGCCTTCTCCTTCACTTTCCCTAGACTAGTCATGTTCATTGCACTGTATGCCGCTGCCTAGAATCCACTGTCCTTTAAGACAGCCCAGTTCACTAATGAATATTTAGTGTCATGATTACTTCTGCATTCCTGAGCTCATATCTTGGAGCCCTTGGAAAGAGAACCCCTGGGGTGTAAATGGTTGTAAGCCTGGGGTGGCAGGCATTTCAGGAAGCTGAGGCTGTTGTCAGGGTTCGAGTTGCCCGAGTCCTGAACCCCAGCAGAAGCAAAGGCATTAAAGAGGCCGGGTTACACTTGAGAGATGATCACAGATGAGATTGACAGGACCAGTAGTTTGGGCCCTTGGAGATGTAAGCTGGAATAAGAAGCTCAGGAGAGAAGCAGGTTGGGTGGAGCTGGGAAGGTGGTGGAGATAGTGAGAAAAGTTTTTGACACTCTGAGATGTGATTTTGGTGGCCTCTTTACCCTCCATGGCAAAACAAACAACTCATGCCAACCAATTGCACCCGTTGGCACTACAGAAAAATTCCTTTGGTTTTTGAAAGCTTTGATCCCTGTTCAGATGTCAACACTGTGGACAGGGCTGACATTTTCAGCTGCTAACAGTCACCAGTGTGAGGGGAAGATTTGTTAGGGGAGCTCATAGGAAAGTGGGAGGGGTGCCTGCTGAATGGGCAGAGGAGCCCTGCGGCTGCAAGTGCCGCCCAGGGCACCAGCCTGGCAGAGCCGAGGGCCTGGGCCTGCGGGTGTGTTTGAGGCTCACATAGTTCAGATTTCTGTGTGCCTCAGGAAGCACCCTCGACATGCCTCTCCTTGGCCATGAGTCCTGCTTCTCCCTGGAGGGAGCCTGCAGCTGCTCAGGCTCACTTCCTCCTCGCTGTTGGCTCCTATTTCTGACCCTCTTCTCCTCCTCTCCCTCTCCGCATCCCACCTGCCCTCCCAGCCTCACCTTCCCGCTACCTGCCCTCGACTGTCCCTCCATCTCGTCCTGTTTTTTTCCTTTACTCTTTCCGTCAAAGGTGTTTGGCATTTGAGGACATTTAGTTTTGCCTTATGTCATAGTTAGTTGAGGGGTATTCTCTCATGTGTGTTTATGGGTTCTCCTAACTCAGTGTTTCTCAAAGTGTGTTCCATGAAATAATGTCATCATATTGAATGCAAAATGGGCTTGTAATTAAGATAGTAGGAAGTGTTTAATTAAGAGAGTAGGAAATACTGGTTGTAGCAAAGGACCATTAAAAAAGAAACCATTAAAAAAAAAAAAAAAAAGAAAAACCTGTAGGTCTGTGCAGACCTTTAACTTCCAAATATAAATCCTGAATCTCTATGAAGTATTTTTCAACATTGTGTACTTGTCCAAGGACCCAGTGTTTCATCTTGCAGGGCTAGTATTCTGCAGGACACAGTTTCCAGAAGAGCTGCTGTAATGTAGAGCCCATATTGGCTAAGGGCAGCACAAAGCCTGTTGTAAGTAATTTCTGAGTAAGCACTTAGTAAAGTTTTTTTTTTTTTTTTAATGTCTTTTTTTGTGGTAAAATTCACATAACATAGAATTGATCAGTTGAATCATTTTGAAGTGTATAATTCAGTGGCATTTAGTACATTCACAGTGTTGTGCAACCATCATCTCAATCTAGTTCCAGAGCATTTTCATCACCCCAAAAGGAGACCTCGTGGCCATGAAGCAGTCACTCACCATTCCCCCCTCCCTCCAGCTCTTGGCAACCACTAATCTGCTTCCTGTGTCTGGATTTGACTATTCTGGATACTTCCTATAAATGGGATCATATAATATGTGGCCTTTTGTGTCTGGCTTCTTCAGTTAGGTTTTGATATAGATGCAAGGTCTTAGACCTGAGCAATACTTGTGCTCCCCCAACACAGCTCTTCATCATTGACCAAACCCAATACATGTGTAAGTACCAAAAAGCAGCCGTCCATCTGGAAGCCAAATCGCATGACTGGGTTAAAAAATATCATGGAATACTGTAGAAATGGGTCAGTAGTGTGGTTGCCATTGAAATGACTTGGGATTTCAGAAGCTGACTTGAACCGCACTGGTTTGAGCTGGCCTCTGAACCCTTTTCTGGAGGTCAAGGTGACTGAGCTTGACTTACCATCCTTACTCATTCTCTCTCCAGCTGGAGGTCTTGGCATTTTAGGTTGCTCATCATTGAAGAACCATAGTCCGTCCCAGAGAGGGCTCAGTCCTCAAAGAATTTTTTCTGTTCCCCAGTAACCAAGGATAGTCTCTAAACAGCCTTTTAATTATGTTGGTGATTCTGCAGTATTGCTAGTGGGCTCTTCGTAAAATCCTGAACGTCTTTCTAAGTTCTTTAACGTAAGTTGAAGTAGGTGTGTCATTAAGCTTTGGAAACCAAACGGTCTTAGACACTAATCTGGTTAGTCTCATCTATAACTGGCACTTAATGTTAGATTTATGGGTATTTCACAGCTATTTAGATTGGTGTTTATACGGGAGCTGTGCTGTTTTTCTTTCCCAACATTCATCAGGGTGGTGTCAACCTTGGGTGACCACTGCTTACAAAGCAGTGAGACAGTATCCATAAAATATATTTGTAGTGGCTCTATTGTTTTCTCCTAGTGCTCAGCTCATTGTGCTGAAATAGCATTCTCCATGAGTTGAAAAACTGCCCGCCTCTTTAATTTTAAGTTTTGAGGCTAGTTTTGGCTATTAAATTTGAGAAATGCAAAAAATGAATCAGGCAAATCTGCAGACTGTGTGTTGAAGTTTTTCCATTTTATTTCCTAGATGCACCCACTGGGCCTGTGTAATAACAACGATGAAGAGGACTTGTATGAATATGGCTGGGTAGGAGTGGTGAAGCTGGAACAGCCAGAATTGGACCCAAAACCATGCCTCACTGTATTGGGCAAGGTAAGCACCAGTGCCGCCCCCTACTCCCCCCAGCCCCCACACACAGTTGCTCTGATTCTGATTGGTGTTCTCTACTCTTTCATTTTCTCTGTTCCTCAAATACTTGGTTATGGAGAAGAGCTGTAATGGCGCAGTGTTGTTTCTTTAGCTGAAATCCTGGGTTGAGGACTAAGGCATACCTTGTGGTCGCCCAGCATAGTGCTTACACACTCAGGCTGTGTAGGACACTGGTGGCCTCAGAGTTGGCTCCACCACTTGTCCACTGAATGGCCTAGGGCAAGTTACTTGCCCTCGATTAGTCTCTGTTTCTTTTCCTCTGTGAAATGGATTGATAATAGAGATTCATAAATCCTTTATCAGACACCCTTGGGGCCAGATATTTCAGAATTCAGAGATTTGGGGATTTTAGAAGGTATCATGTGCATATACTTTATATTAAGTAACCCTCAGGGAATCTGGAGCAGCAGTCAGTTATCAAACACATTCCTATTTGTGTAGCAGAACACATGGATATTCACATTAAGTAAGATAACTAAAATCTAAATAACCTAGTGCTAGCTCAGGTCAGCTTTGCCTCCAGATGAGTTCAGATTCATTTAGTTTTGCTGCCAAATATATTATGGAAAACTTCCTGGGTTTTAGAGCATTTCTGGTTTTGGAATAGCGGATAGGAATTATCGCTGTGTATTAGAACTTAACCTATAGCATGGTTAGGAGGATGGGATGAGGTACAAAGGCCTAGCATATAGTAAGCTCTCAAAAAAATGTTTATTGCCGTTGGCTGTATTGTCAGCACATTTAGAAATACTAAAAAGACATATTAGCCAAGACGGTCAGCATTACCTTTGACTACAGTATAACAGAAATACGTTTACTTTGGAAGGCCGTTTATCAAGGATCTTAAAATGTGATAGGTAACGATCTGTTTTACCCTGGATTATTTTGTTAAAGGGAAAGATTCAGAGAAAGTTATTAGAATCTTGGTTAGAGGAAAGGTGGTATCTCCTTAGTGTTATTGCCTGGATACTTTTTTATATTCTCAAAAGATGCTGTTCTAGGCACCGTGGGGAGATGTTCGGGGGGTGGGGTGGGGGGACAGTCCTAGTTCCTGACCTCTTGGAGCTTGTAGTCTGTTGGCAATTCCAGCCAAGAGAAGAAGTCGTTTTGCTCCAGGTTGCTAGATTTGAAAATGTCCCAGTCATGGTTCCTGAAAGACCTTTTGCCCAGGAGACCCGCACAGGTCTACTCAGTTTGTGATATTGTGTCCTACTTGGTTGTCTTCTAAGTAGCTTTAGAGCCTGTGTCAAGTTCTCCTGCCCTTTGATTGGGAATAAACAGAGGAGTTATTATTACCTGTTTGGTTTACAGTTCAAGAAGCTGAATCAAGATGTTTTAGGTGGCCCAGGCCCTTATTTAAATAACTTCATCATTGAAATAGTTGGCCAGAGCTGCTTAGTGATGGTAGGAGAACAGCAACCCCCATGAGAATATTTTAATATTTTCCTGGAAGAAATGTCAGCTACACCCAAAGGTTAGAAATAGAGCTTTCCTTGTAGGTATTATGCTCCTAATATAATATTTTCTCCTATACTTAATCTGTGCCGGGCTCACCTCCTTGGCTAAAGTTGATTTGCCCTAGTCCGGTGGGGCTCCATTTTTGTGTCTGTTGTGTCTGTAAATGGGTTGGCAGAGGACTCACAGGGGGTCACCCCGTTGTTCTTTCACGGTTTAGTGGTGGAGGGACTTGTTGAAGTCACTCACAGAACCCAGTCATTTCCTCCTCCGTCTGGAACAACCATCTGTTGGTTTTACTTGGAGAGTTTCGTATGGTTTGGCCTGCTGGCCTGTGAAGCCAGGGGGAATAAAAACTCTAGACATATATTGAATCATTAAGTACCTCTTAGGTTTATTCATTCAGCAAATATTTATTGAATGTGGAGGCCCAGAGGCTAAGCGTGTGGTTTTCCCTGCTTGCAAGCAGCAGCCCACCATGTTTCTGTTTGTAAAGACTGCGTGGTGGCAAGGCGGCTGAGTTTACATCTGAATGAAATCATTTGCAAAAAAAAGCTTAGGCCAGACAAAACAAGACAGTTTCACTTTTGTTTAAAACCTGGAAAGTGCAGGAGGTGCTATGAGTCAGGTGTCTCTCTCATCTTTTTAAAGCGTGGTTGTTCTCAGCTTCAGTTTTATTAACTTTACTAACTGTATATTCTCTTTTCTGATTCCCCAAGGGCAGTGACAAGAGACAAGGGTAAAGACACAGTGCTCTTCGTGGGCAGTGTGACCCCCTGCAGACGGTGTGGTTTTCTGATCCATTTCTTTGCTCTTGGAGGCTCTGGCAAGAAGAGGTGGGCAATAGAGAGAGCCATCAACAGCAAAGGAAAAAACTACAGCCAAGTAGTCCATGTGCGGGCGGGAGGAACTCCTCCGTGTCAGCGTTGAGACTTGTTGAAAACCATAGAAGGGAGGACTCTGTCAGCCACAGCCGTGTCAGGCCTTCGGAAAAGCCTGTGGGAGAATGGGGGAGGGCTAGACCCAGCACACACAGCAGGCTCCTTCAGGGATTCCCCTCCCTCTGTCCCACCCTCCCACAGAAAATGCCATGGGGCAAAAGCTTGAAACAAGAGAGGAATGTCCTAAATTAAAAAAAAAAAAAATAGATGCCTCTCCAGGAGTTCAGATAAAGTTTTCATTTTAAAAGCAAAAGACATAAACTCATCACCTTGGTTTATTACTGAGCACTTTTGAACTCCTTAGAAAAGAACACTATAAACTCATGAGAAAAAAATGATTTATGATCCCCTCCTTATAATCTTTTGGATTCTGTAGGAGGCAGTGCCGACAGTAGGATCAGCTAGAGAGGCAGAGTTAGGGTGCGGGTGAGTCGCCCACAGGGAAGTGGCAGCCAGGGTACCAGACCAGACCCTGCCTCAGACCGAGCGTTGGCAAATCTCTTTGGCTTTCTGGGTCTCTGTTTCCTCAGTTGCTGTAAGGAGGCTGTTCTGGATTCCTTGTTCTTCTAATATTTTGAGCTTCTGTATCATATTTAAAATGTTTTCTTGGTATTCTAGCTTGGGAAGATTCTAGTTGCAACATTAAAGATAAATTCTATTACCTGTAATAGCCTAAGTCCTAGAACATTAAAATATAAAAAAATTGACATTTCTGAGCAGCTTTCTCATGAAAGTAAGAGTCTTATGCCATCTGCAAAGTGGAGGCATTTTAACCTTTTATTTCAGTCAATGTTTATTAAGCATCTTTTTTTTTTGAACATTTTATTGTGTTTTATGTGAAAATTTACATATCGAGTTAGTCTCCTATTCAATAATGCATACACAAATTGTTCCGTGACATTGATTGCTGTCCCCGCAATGTGTCAGCACTATCCCCATTTCCACTCTTCCTTCCCTGTTTCCATCCCTCCAGTTTCTCTACCTCTCCTTGCCTTCTCATCTTTGTTTTTGGGCAAATGTTGCCCATTTGGTCTTACATATTTGGTCATGGGTGTTGTCGTTTATTTCATAGGCCAGTCTATTATTTGATTGAAAGGTGACCTCCGGAAGTGGCTTCAGTTCCTGGTTAAAAGTGTATCTAGACGGCAATAGTCTCAGGGGTTCCTCTAGTCTCTATCAGTCCAGTAAGACTGGTCTTTTTTATGAATTTGAGTTTTGTTCTACATTTTTCTCCCATTCTAACCAGGACCTTCTATTGTGTCCCTGGTCAGAGTGGTTGGTAGTGGTAGCTGGGCACCATCTATTTCTTCTCGTCTCAGGCTAGAGGAGGCTGTGGTTTTTGTGGGCCATTAGTCCTATGGACTAATTGCTTCCTTGAGTCTTTGGTTTCCTTCACTATCCTTTGCTTCAGATGGGAAGAGACCATGAGGTATATCTTAGATGGCCACTTGCACGCTTTTAAGACCTCACCAAACTAGGATGTAGAACATTATCTTTATGAACTATGTTATGCCAATTGACCTAGATGTCCCTTGAGACTATGGTCTTATTAAGCATCTTGTGGTGCTGGTAAGAGATTTGACAGTTGGCTTTAGTGGCTTCATCTATGGCCTGTCAACTGTGTGGAAAATCTCACAACACTGGATATACAAGATGTGCTGGAGTTTCTAACAAAGCCCACCTGGCACCGATTGCACAGCTCAAGGCAGAGTTAAATACTCTACATCCAGCAGCAAGGAGCCCTGGTGTTTCAGTGGTTAAGCTCTCAGCTGCTAACCGAAAGATTCAGTGGTTCAAACCCACCCAGCGATTTTGTGGGAGAAAGACCTGGAGATCTGCTTCCATAAAGATTACAGCCAAGAAAACCCTATGGGGCAGTTCTACTCTGTAACACATGGGGTCACCATGAGTTGGAGTCAACTCGATGGCAAAACAACAATACTCAGCAGCACCGCAGAAGAAAGGCCTGGCAGTCTGCTCCCGTGAAGATTACAGCCAAGAAAACCCTATGGAGCAGTTCTATTCTGTCACATATGGGTGGTTTTTGTTTTTTGTTTTTTACACCTGCCACACCACTGGCTGCCATTGGAGTGGATTTCTGCAGGAGCTTTGAAAGACAGGATGGTCAGGAGGCGTGAACTCGACTCTTTCCAGCACTTAAAAGGGCACTGGGGAGTTGTTAATAAAAAGACAAGGAAGGAAAGGAGCTGCAGGTCAGAGAGACCCAGCCTTGGCTGAGCGGCCTTGGAAAAGCAACGTCAGTTCTTAGTTCCTTACTTTCCTCGTTTGTGAAATGGGGCTGATGCTGCCTTTGTCGTTGATGTGGGGATTCCATGAGATGTTTGTGGAGCACTTAACACAGACCCTGCTCATAATAAATGCCTGATGAGAGTGGAAACACAGCTGTCATGTGTCAGGTGCTCACTGAGTGCTTGGTGTAGTGCTAAGAGCTTTATATGCAATGTCTCCTCTACTGTCAGAAAGCTCTGAAGTCTCGTCCAGCATCCCCATGTTTTCCGTGAGGAAATCAAGTCCCAGAGAGGCTCT